ATTTCCGTGCCTACTTTTGGAGGCCCAAACACGGTTTTCCGTATTGTGTACGGACCGTGCTTATTTTTGTCACCCCTGTATACCATTACACATACAATTACTTTTTATATAAAGTCAAATGACACAAGTGTCAAAACCTTCTAGACATTTTTACTAAGTACTAATACTCATTTCATCTCTTAATAATATATCAATTTTTCTATTTTTGTCAATTTCATAACAAAATATTTATTTATTTTTTAATAATTGTAATTTCTACTCATATTAAAAATACCATTACAATTTACAATTTATTACATAAATGACATTATATTTATATCACATAATACTAATAAAATTATTTTAATCTTTTATATTTTATTCATAAGATATTCTAATATAATGCTAACATTTCTAAAATTTCGTACATAAAAAAAAAACATATATATAAACAAGGGACGGAGGAGGTAAAATATATATATATATGTATGTATATTTAATGTATTACAAAACCCTCAAAAATTAATTTGGACCGGGAGTATAATACATTTTTATAATTAATATATTAATGAATTATATTCTTTTCATTCCGTATTTCTTATCTTATTTATTTTTTAAAAAATATTCTCCTTTTATGCGGAAGATTGAGCTTTTTGTTAGGGATAAGGTATTTTAGGTAGTATAAGTTATTAAATTATTAATAATAAATTAAGATAATATTTTATTATTTTTTATACCTGTAGTATTGTTGGTATTTTAAATATTTTTATAATTATATCTCAATAAAATATATATACAAAATGAATATTATTTTGTAGACAATAAAATTTTATATAATACAAATGAATAAAAAATATATTTATTTATTTATCATTATTATAAATTAGTTTTATAAAAAATGAGGAGTTTTAAAGGTAGATAAAAATATTTGTTAATTGATGAGAGATTTAGAAGTTTAATTAAATTGATTTATATTTGTTAAGTATGTTTAAGATTGATAAATTGACCAAAAATGAAAATGGGTCATCTTTTGTGGGTCGTACCAAAAAGGAAATAGATTCATCTGTGGCGGGACGGAGGAGGAAGTATATTTTTAATTACTTATCAAATTTACAAATTTATAAATTTTTATTTTAATTTAATTAAGTAATTATCTTAATTCTATTTTATAATCATTTATATTGTACGAATAATTAATTTTATTAACATATTTATATTTTATTTTTTTAAAAAATATTAAATTAAATATTTATTTTATATTTGTTATATTATATTAAAAATTAATTTTATATTCAAAATATAATATCAACACATATTTATATCATATCATACAATTATTACAATTCATATTACCAAACAAACACACCCTTAGACTATCTCCAACGCAAGGGATTGATTTTTTCTCAATTTTTGCAGTTTTTTTTTTATTTATTTTAATTTTAATATATAATTAATTTTATTATACTATAATAATTTTTACTATATATTTATTATTAACTTATTAATTATGTTTATTAAAATTCTTATATTTAACATAATTCAAAACAAAAGGTGGGACTGAAGAAAAGTAGTATAATTAGGATTAAAAAATTATAAATTATAAAATTTAAAATATACTTCATCCGTTACACATAATTTGTTCCTATTTTTTATTTTCTTCTGTCCCACATAATTTGTATTTATACACTTTAATCTCATTTTAAATTTTATAATTTTTTTAATTTTAATTAAACTATTTAGTTATTTTAATCTTAATATATAATTATTTTTATTATATAATAATTATTTTTACTAATATATTTTTTAATTATTTACTAATTACACTTTAGCTAAATTCTTGTATCTGCCATGATAAGTTCATAATACATGGAACGGAGAAAGTATAATTATATTATTAAAAAAACAGATAAATTGAAACGAATAAAAATAAAAAGAGTGGAAAAAAAATTGAGACGGAGATATAATAAATAAGATGCGGAGGTGGGGACCAGTGTAGATCCGCCGACGCAAACAAATCTATCCTCAATCTGGACGGGTCTGGTGGTGCACTTAATACGCACGTACACACACGCGCTTTTCCCTTTTATTATTATTATTATTATTATTATTTTATTTTTATTACTCCCTCCTCCAATTGTGTGCTGCATTGGTTGACGCTTTCAATTTCAGTTTTTCTTGCTCAATTTGTCGTTAATGCGGTTCACGTCATTTAATTATATCATATTTATTAACACAATACAAATTAGGCGAACCAGGTGAGGCAAGTGATTTGAGAGGGGACGCACAATTCTATATTTTATTTAGACAGTATGTATCATGTTATAAATATGTATAATTTTTTATAAATAAAATAATTTTATATTTAGGCACATTGTTAATCTATCTACTTCCCTCCAGGATTGCTTATGTCATTAATGCTTGGTTTTTAGCATTATTTATTAATAATAGTAACCATTTTATAAATTTTGACTGTTTTTGAAAACCTCAAAGCTTGTAGAGTATTTATATGGAGCCAAATATCTTAAGCAACAATATGGTCATACATTTTTTTGTTTGTTCAATAATATAATATTGGTTTGTTTGGTTTATATTTGAAACTGAAATTTTTATTTAAATTAGTATTTTAATTTGATGTTTTATGAGATAAAGTAATATTATATATTGTTTAATATATGAATATTAATGACGTAAATAATATGAAAATTTGTAATTAATTTATTAATATATTTATATTTGTATGTTGTTTACCTGTAATAATGATTGAATATTATATATATATATATATTTAAGAAAATTTATGTTAAAAATAATATTGAAAGATCAACATATTAAAAAAAAAAAATAAAAAATTATGACTAAAATAGCTTTATTATTAATATGTGTGATATAAATGTAATGGTATTTGTGTAATATATTGTAAGTTGTAAGGCTATTTATAAAGTTAGATAGATAGTACAATTATTAAAAATTACTAAAAAATAAATGAATACTTTGTTACGAGACAAACTAAAATGGAAAAATAGATATTTTGTTATGAGATTGAAGGAGTATATATTTGAACGTAATCGGAACTTGTTTCTCAACCTAATACTCAAAACCTAACATCATACAAATTCTTTTGGATACATTTAGATTGATTTGATTTTTTTCGGATCATCCAATAATTTGAATGGATCAGATTTTCTTGGCACGAAATAGACCTGAAAATTGAAAAAGGAACCGGAATTTAAAATTTCATTAAAAAGATAGAAAAAAGTTACATACATAAAAAATTTCATTAACCACAAAATTAAACTAAATTACGTAAAAGAAGAGGATTAAGAAGAAGAAAGAGACAACAACGATATATGAAGAGGACAACAATGACATTGATGAAGAAGAAGACGATGGCAACAAAGATGGATATGGGGCGACATACGGGACGCGGACACACGGATCCAAATGGGAACGAATGGTTCGTCGTTATTGATTACAACATTTAAATAACAATATAATTAATATTATATAACTTTTTAATATTTTTTACTTAGTAATAAAAATAGAACTTATTAAGTCAATTTGAAATTCGATTTGATTACTTATATATATATATATATTGTTTCAAATTTAAATAGGCTTGAGTTTTTAAAAAACAAAATTACATAGGTCAGAACATAAAAGGTTGCATTTGGTTTTGACACTTTACTATTTATTACGTTTTCCTACAAGAATTATAAATTAAAAACATATATTCTCCTCTTTTAATAGATTAGACAAATACAAAATCATTTAATTTTTTTTTTAAAAAAAAAAACAAAAAATCAAAACATTCAAATTTTAAAAAAAAATAATAAATTGTATAATTCTAATTCTTCATTTTCATTAAAATAGAAGCTTCATTGTCATGTTAAAAAAACTACCCCCACTACATCATTACTATATTCTTCATTAATAAAATAAAATAAAATAAAAATACATAGTGCTGCATGCCGTTTGGCGGAAGCCGTTAACGGACATGATTGGTCGTAAAACTAGTTGCTTTAAGCAATCCAACGGCTGTCCATACTTGGTGATGCTGATGCATGGTGTGCCGTAACAAAGCACATATTTTTAGCACCATAAATAAATAAAATAAATAAATCTATATGTAATAATCAAGACAACTGCGCACAGCATACCGAGTAGTTGTCCCCGTTTACATTTGCCAAGCAAGTTGTGTTGTTTTTTATATGGTAGTCTCCATCAGGGATGAACATTCAAATTTATGCTAAAAATAAAAATAAAATAAAAAATTATGACTTTGTATTTTATCAAATTATATAATTATTTTAGAATTCAAAATTTTGTAAAAACTTGATTTGAACTGTCCAAAAATCAAATCCAAATATTTGTTTTTTTTTTATTTAAAAAAATAAATTTTATCAGATTGAATAAAGTAAAATCTAAACAATTCAAAACAATTTAAATAATACTTCCTCCTTACCACTTATATGGCGATCTTTTCATTTTTATTTGTCTTATTTATTTTATCCGTTTTATTTACCGTATCATATTTTCGGTCATTTTTTTTATTTGAAAAAAAATTATACATGTTAATTTTATTTTAAATTTTTTAAATTTATAATTTTTTTTTAAAAAATTATATATTTTAATTTCATTTTAATTTTTTTAAATTTATAATTTGTTAATTATACCTGTCTCACTAACCATATTATTCTTTTTGTCACTTTTCTTTTTTTAAAATAATTATATATTTAATTTTTTTTAAATTTTTTTAAATTTATAATTATTTTTATTAATATATTTTTAATTATTTATTAATTATAGCGTAAAGGTCATGGTAGACTGGATGGAAAAAGATTATATTATTTGTGTCTATATAACTGAATTAAAATAAGAATTCCAATTCTAAAAGAAGAAAGGGTTGCAAAGTCGCCATTAATAAAGGAATTTATTATGCCATTTGATTATTTATATTTAAATAAATTCCGAAAAGTGAAGGTGGTATCCGCATGTCTCCTCTATAAAATGGTCCCGGACGCTATGTCTCTCCTCGAACTTGATAATTCTCCAAACCCTAATTTCGTATTTCGAATTAGCGTGGTTAGCTTTCGTCCCATTCCGCGTTGGTTCTCATTAATCTTTGAATGGGGCTGAAATTCACGCCGGCCTCGCCCGCCGGAAAATGGCTCGGCTTCGTCACCGCCGTTTGGGTGCAAGCAATTTCGGGAAACAATTACACCTTTGCTAATTACTCAGATGCACTGAAATCCCTAATGTCCCTCACTCAGCTCCAACTAAACAACCTCTCCGTCGCGAAAGACGTCGGCAAGGCTTTCGGCGTCGTCGCCGGATTGGCCTCCGACCGCCTCCCCCCGCCGGTCATCCTACTCATCGGCTCGATCGAAGGATTCATTGGCTATGGCGTCCAATGGCTCGTCGTTAGCGGCCGAATCCAACCGCTTCCTTACTGGGCGGTTAGTTATATATATATATATAAATTATATATGTTTTCATAAAAATCTTGAGGAACTGTTTCTATAATGATCTTTTATTGTGTGGTACCGTACAGATGTGTATTTTTTTGTGTATGGGAGGGAACAGCACGACGTGGATGAACACGGCGGTTCTGGTAACGTGCATTCGGAATTTCCGGAAAAATCGTGGCCCTGTTTCGGGGATTCTGAAAGGCTACGTCGGTTTAAGCACGGCAATTTTCACCGATATCTGCTCGGCTCTGTTCGCGAACGATCCGGCGAAATTTCTTCTGTTGCTAGCAATTGTCCCCTTTGTAATTTGCCTAACCGCCATTCTTTTCCTGCGCGAGATCCCGCCGTCTTCCACGGCGGCGGAGGAAAAGGACGAGACGAGATACTTCGGCTTAATCAACGTCATCGCTGTGATTGTAGCGCTCTACTTATTGGCATTCGACATAACAGGCCAACACGGCCGTGTCTTCTCGCAGATTTTCGCGGCAATTTTGTTGATCTTACTGGCATTCCCATTGCTAATTCCTATTTACCTGGCGACCAAGGATTTCATAAGGTCAGGCTCGGAGAGTGTCGACTCTGAGCAGAGCTTGGCGGCGCCACTGTTGCCGGAGAAGAAGGTGGAAGCGGCGGAGGCGGTGGTGTCGGTATTGGATAAGGACACGCCTGTGTTGGGAGAAGAGCACACGATTCTGGAAGCTTTGAAAACGGTGGACTTTTGGATCCTATTCGCGTCGTTCTTAGGTGGAGTTGGGACAGGTCTTGCCGTGATGAACAATCTCGGACAGATTGGGTTGGCTCTCGGATATTCAGACGTATCCATGTTCGTCTCCCTCACTAGCATCTGGGGATTCTTTGGTCGGATCTTATCTGGATCGGTGTCCGAATACTTCATCAAGTAAGTTTCCCCTACTTTGCTTTGTCTTTATTCTTTCGGTATATGCTTTGGTTTGGAAATTGGTATATACTTTACGGTGACGCTAAAATCAATGGGAATAAAAAAACAAAAAATACTCGTACATCTTTTTATTTTGGTTCATACTGTGTATTGATTAAGGAATTTTTGGTTGTTTTAGTGTTGAAGATCTGTTAATCAATCATGATATATATTTTGGGAAGTACAAGAAATAATTTATAAGGTAGTTAGGATCCACGGTTCTTGTTTTCCTCCCTCTCCAATTCGGATACAATTATGAGAAGAAAATGGGGACAGCCTTTTCTTATCATGTTTTGGACCAGTTGTTGTCTGCCTTTAGTGGCTTCCAAAGGGTTATTCACTTTTTAAAGCAAATTGAAATTTCTCCTTCGTTTACATTGTCATGGGCCCCTGAAAATCAATGCTAGTTTTGATATTTTTGTAAATATCGTTTGTCATAAAAGATCAAAGTTTGCTCTGTTCTAGTTGATTTGGACACAACCATGCCGTGCCATATATGGCCCTGCAATGAAAGTTCCTCCAATTACTCAAATGGATTTTATATGAATTTAACTGATTTTAGGAGGGCTGGAACGCCGAGGCCAGTTTGGAATGCAGCTTCTCAGATTCTAATGGCGTTGGGATACATCCTTATGGCCATGGCTTTGCCGGGATCACTCTACATCGGCTCAGCCGTAGTCGGCATTTGCTACGGCGTTCGTCTCGCTGTCACTGTTCCCACTGCTTCAGAACTCTTCGGCCTTAAATACTACGGCCTCATTTACAACATCCTTATTCTCAACCTTCCATTGGGTTCCTTCCTTTTCTCCGGGCTGCTAGCCGGCTTCTTGTACGACGCAGAGGCCACAGCCACGGCCGGGGGTGGGAACACGTGTGTCGGTTCCCACTGCTACAGGCTCGTATTTCTGGTTATGGCAGTTGTCTGCGTAATTGGGTGCAGTCTCGATGTCTTGCTGTCTATTCGGACTAGGAGTATATATGCAAAAATATGCGCGAGCAGGAAGTCGAAGAGGTCGTCGTTGCCGCCGCAACTGAGCTGAGGATGTGATTACAGCAGCTGTTACACGTAGTTTTGTTTTTTGTTGTATTAGGGACCTTATAGAAATGTGTATATGATCTATCGATCCCTTCAATTCATGTACCTGTGGAAGATTACAATGCCATTTCTATAGTGAAAATTCATTGAAGGAAGATTGCTTAAGCTGTGTGCTAAAATTAGGTTACTTTGAACAAATAAAAGAGCTGTTCGTTGAAAATAAATAGGAATAATGAAATTAAAGTATTATGTTGGATCAGGAAAGGACAAGAAAGTGAAGAGGCCATGGAACGTGTGCATTACTTTTAATAATATTAATAATTTATGCAAGTCAACAAAATAAATATATATGCGCAATATGTATTCTGCCATTTATGTGTCTCCCATATCTGTAATAAATAACAGTAATATTATAAACTTGAATTTTTTAAATTGAGTGACGCAATAAATCCTATCTGTGACCCTCGGCTCTTGAAAGCTAATGTGGGTCGTCGGATTGACTTCGGATGATGTGAGCCGTCCGATGGGCATTAAATGTTAATCGTCAGCATACTTTCCCTCTTCTTTTCTCTTCCCCCGTCCACACGCAGTGAGTGAATCGACCACCGCGACCACCGCCATTCCGCTATGAGACCGTCGAATTGGGGGAGATTCATTCTTAATTACACCGTAATCGCTGTGTTGTTAGTTTTCAATCTGAGCTGGGAAGTCGTCAGTTTGGGATCAATGTCGACCATCGCCGTATCCTACGGCGACAAAGGTCACGCTTCTTGTGTTCTGAGGTCCGATGGCTCTCGTTCCGTTAGTTGCTACGGTTCGAATGACGCCATTGTCAACGCGACGCCGCATCACCTCACTTTCCTCGGATTGACAGGCGGCAGTGGCTTTATCTGCGGACTAATGGAGGATTCGAAACACCCCTTCTGCTGGGGCAGTTCGATGTACATCCCAATCGGCTCTCCTCTCGGAATGACCATGAATTCAGAGTACGTAGAAATCAGCGCTGGAGATTACCAATTATGCGGATTAAGAAAGCCCTCGGAACGAAATTCGAACGAATTGTCTCTAGTTGATTGTTGGGGCTATAATATGACAAGAAGCTATACTTTTAATGGTAAGATCCTGTCCATTTCTTCAGGCTCTTTATTTTGCTGTGGTCTGTTTGCTAACAATGGTAGCGCTTTCTGCTGGGGAGATGACCTTACGTCTAAATTGATTCCTAAGGCTTTAAGATTCAGGAAGATTGCTGCTGGGGGGTACCATGTTTGTGGGATTTTGGAAGGTCTGTATTTCAAAGTTGTTTGTTGGGGGACTTTGGATGTTGGAGTGAAGCTTCTAGTTAGTCCTGTTAGGCATACTCCTCTGTCTCCAATGGCGTCTGTTGTTGGGGGCAAATTTCATGCCTGTGGGATTCGAATGAACGATGGAACAGTGGTTTGTTGGGGGTATAGAATGGAAGGAAGCACAACTCCTCCTCCGGGTGTTCGTTTTCGAAGAATTGCTGCTGGTGATTACTTCACTTGTGGGGAATTGCCTGCGGCTTCTCTGCCTCCAATTTGTTGGGGCGACGGCTTTCCTTCTACGCTGCCGGTTCCTGTTGATCTTCGACACTGTCATTCATCGCCTTGTTGGCGTGGTTATTATCAGTTTAACAATGCAAGTACACCCTGCAGGTCCCCTGGTTTCCATGTCTGTTTGCCTTGTCGTAATGGCTGCCCTGATGAAATGTTTAAGGTTTATGAATGCAGTTTGGCGTCCGACATGGTGTGCGGATATAACTGCACTAAATGCAAAACTATTGAGTGCTTTTCTAATTGTTCCAGTCATGGTTCCGGCAATACCAGCATTGGTGATAGTGATACCATATTTTGGTCGATAGATTTGGGAATCTTCGTAGCTGAGATATCTGTAATTGTCTTGTTGGTAGCTTTGATCTTGCTGTCGATGGCGCTCTGCATTCGATGCATGTTAAGGAAGAGAAAACCTATGCCTGTGTCCAAAACCGATGGAAATCAGGCGAACGGGGATTGTCTGAAGATTTGGCGGGCTCGGATGTTTACTTATGAGGAACTCGACAGAGCCACGGGAGGATTTAAAGAAGAGTCGATAGTAGGAAAGGGTAGTTTTTCGAGTGTCTTTAAAGGAGTTCTGATGGATGGAACCACAGTCGCTGTTAAAAAGGCTACGGTGTCGCACAACTGCGATGGCTGGACTTGTTTCAAAATGGAACTCGATTTGCTTTCCAGATTAAACCATGCTCATTTGCTCAGATTGCTCGGTTATTGTGAAGAAAGAGACGAGAGGCTTCTGGTATACGAGTTCATGACGAATGGCTCATTGTACCAGCACCTACACGGTCCAACGAAAGAATCGAAAGAGCAGCTGGATTGGATGAAAAGGATCACCATTGCAGTGCAAGCATCTCGCGGGATCGAATACCTCCACGGCTACGCTTTCCCTCCTGTGATCCACAGGGACATAAAATCATCGAACATTCTTATAGATGCAGAATACAACGCACACGTCGCAGATTTCGGGCTCTCCTTGCTCGGCCCGACTAACGGCACCTCACCTCTAGCAGAACTCCCCGCCGGGACGTTTGGTTATCTCGATCCTGAATACTATAAGCTTCATTACCTCACGACGAAATCGGATGTTTATAGTTTCGGCGTTCTTCTCTTGGAAATTCTCAGCGGTCGGAAAGCTGTTGATTTGCGATGCGAAGAAGGGAACATTGTTGAATGGGCAGTCCCTTTGGTAAGAGCTGGAAACGTCGAAGCTGTTTTGGATCCTGTCCTGGAATGTCATCTGGAGATCGAACCTCTAAAGCGGATTGCTAATGTAGCCTGTCGATGCGTGAGGATGAGAGGAAGGGATAGGCCGTCGATGGACCAAGTGACTACAGCTCTGGAGCTATCGTTAGCGATGTTAATGAGTAGCCCGAGTGACGAGCAAAATAATCTTCTGAGTAAGGCTGTTTTGGGATGTAGAACATTGCAGTTGAAGCCGGCGTTGGAAATGGATAGAATGGATCAAGTAGATGAACCCGCAAACCGTCCATCTGCCTCGCTCGATGCATAATTCGGACAGTGCACGAAAAGCTACAATGGTGTGGATCATCGAAATCGATCAATGTAAGTTTATTAGTGTCATGTAAAGAGGAATCCCCGTTTTTGAGATGCTTTCTTGGCCTTACATTAGGAGCTATTGTTATGTTCTGTTTCATTGTGGATTATGAACACTAGTAACAGGTGTTTCATTGTCTTTCTTATCCCAATTGGTAATAATTGACTTGTTCTTTCTTCTCCAATAACTCCCTTCACATTTTTCCTGGTTTTTGAGGGTCGATGAATCTTGTCCTTTTTCCCTGTGTTTTCTTCCCATTCTTTAATTTATGAGGTTTATCGTAATAATCAACCAGTCATTGTTGTCACGTGAACATTTCTTGATCTCTTCGCATTATTGCCTTGATTTTAGCTGCTAGTTAAAAGGGACCCCATGTTCTAGATACAGACAGTCAGTCACATACGGAAATAGAAATAGAAAATGAAAGAAAAAGATTCCTTCTCCAGTCCTGTCAACGCTAACATAAGCTCTGATTAGATAAATCCATGATCAGGCACGCAGGCAGGCAGTTCACATTGTCAGAATCCTATCTTTTAATTGTATTAACATTGAGATTACAGAAAACTGTAACTGATCTTTAAAGACGACTGTGAGTATGGCTCAGAAGTCAAAACAGATTGTGACTGTCTGTGCCACTTATGAATGTGATACATCTTTCCCTTTTGCACACTACTCATCATCTTCCCCATGGTCATGGCTCCATTGTTGCTCCTTTTCCTTACCTTGAATCTGGTGTCTTCTTCATACGGTCTTTTCTTGCTCTGTCTTCATCTCATCTCTTTCATTGTTGCCTCTGTATTATCTTTGTTTTCGGTGTTTATTTATTTAAGGTTTGCTGGTTTGTTTCAGATGGACCGCTCTACGATTCAACAGCTTATACCGAGGTATGGTATCGACAATTTGGATCGTAAAATTCAACCTTGGATAATCAAACCATTACATTTTCTCTTCATGTGATAACATCTATATAATATGACTTACACATTTGTTTATAATCTTGGTGAGAAGTGCAAATCCCAACCTGAGAATGCACTTTACGGTGGAGGGCTGCTCAAGGATCGACACCCCGTTTTCGAGAAGGATCTGTTGCTGTTTAAGTTGGAAAACCTCACTCAGGGCTACAAATATTGTTTTTCCAGTTGAGTTTGAGTATTCCTAGGTTGTATGATTCATCTGCATTGTCGTGATCGTATGATGGATACATTCTTTCTTGGTGTCACAGTTTGGATCAAGATGGAATCTGCAACCGCGGCCTCGGCTCTTGTAAGGGCGAGCATCGTGACCGAAGAAACTTCGATCGATTGCATTGGAACTGTTATTGCAAAGCAGGGCTGTTGGTCTTTTCTCAAGGGTGGATTCGTGCTGTCTTCGCCGTCGAATTCTTCAACACTTCGAATACAGGTTAGTATGGTTTCGATTGACAATAAAAAGATCGTCTTTTGGACGCATTTTGTCGTAATGTTTCCCTGTCAGGACATCAGAATGTCGACATAGCAGTCGCAGGTGCTTCGCTGCAGCCTTTCAGCGACGAGCAATGGAGATTGAATCAAGAAGCAAAGATTAACGAAGTAAGAAAGCGCGCTGTAATGATCCATGTTTCAAACAAACACGGAGTGCCGTTACAAAATGCTGAGGTAAGAATCGAACAAGTGTCGAGAGAGTTCCCATTCGGATCCGCCATAGCCGAGAGCATCATCGGCAATGCAGCCTACCAGAAATGGTTCGTCGAGCGATTCAACGTGGCCGTGTTCGAGAACGAACTCAAATGGAATGCGACCGAGTTCTTGCAAGGCGAGGTGAACTACACGGTGGCGGACAGGATGCTCGAATTCGTTCGAGCAAACCAGATAATGGCACGCGGACACAACATATTCTGGGAGGATCCGAAATTCGTGCCGCGATGGGTGTCGAAGCTGTCCCGAGCTGAGCTGGAATCGGCGGTGGCGTCGAGAATCGACGGCCTGATGAGCAAATACAGAGAGCAGTTCATCCACTGGGACGTGAACAACGAAATGCTGCATTTCGACTTCTACGAGGATCGGCTCGGCTCAGACGCCACGCTGAGATTCTTCGAAACGGCTCACCGCGCCGATCCCCTGGCGACGTTGTTCATGAACGAGTTCAACGTGGTGGAGACTTGCAGCGACGGGAAGTCGACGGTGGACACGTATGTGTCGCGGCTGAGGGAGCTGAAGCTCGGCGGGGTGTCGATGGATGGGATCGGGCTACAGGGGCATTTCGGGCAGCCGAATCCGGTGCTGATGAGGGGTATTTTGGACAAATTGGCGACTCTCCGGCTGCCCATATGGCTGACGGAAGTCGACATTAGTAGCAGGTTTGATGGAACTGATACAAATTATTATCGTGTTTGTTTGCGATTCTTATCTTTGATTTTTTTTTTTTTTTGAAATTTTGTTACAGGTTTGGGAATGAGACTCAGGCGGCGTATTTGGAGGAGGTTTTGAGGGAGGGATTTTCGCACCCCGGGGTGGACGGGATAATTCTTTGGGCGGCGCGGCGGCGGGGGCGGTGCTACCAGATGTGCTTGACGGACGACGAGATGGGGAATTTGCCGGCGGGGGTGACGGTGGACAGGCTGCTGGAGGAGTGGGGGACGGGGGTGGTGGAGGGGAAGACGGACGAGCATGGTGCTTTTAGTTTTGTAGGGTTTTTGGGGGAGTACAAGGTGGAGGTTAAGGTGAAGGGTGGTTATGGCGGTGGGAGAGTTGGGGATTTGATTTCGACGGCGTTCTTGTCGCTGTCGCGGGGGAGGGAAACCAGAAGTTTCAATGTTCAATTGTAGAGAGGTGGGCTGGGCTGGTCTGGGCTTTTGAGTGGAATGGGCCCATAGAATAATGGGTTGATGTAATTGTGGGCTATAATATATATATATATATATAGAAGTATTATTTATTTATTTGTTTTATGTTTTATTGAAAAATAAAGGCAGCAGAATGATGAGTGGGTGTCTGATGGAGTAGCAAGTCAGTCACATTCGTAACATAGCACGCCCAAATTAATTCCATGCCCACTTTTTTTAAACTACTCATTTCTAACTTCATCTTCTTGTTTTTTTTTCTTTTTTTTCTTTTTTTTTTTTTCTACACAGACATATATATATATATTTAATTGAAATAATATATTTAAAAACTGCACATTAGAAGAAAAAGAAGACTGTAAATTTTCTGTTGAATTATTTGATTATTTTCAAATTATTTTTGAATTTAAATAATTGTATGATATAAATATAAACATGTGTTGATGTGATATTTTGAATGTAAAATTAATTTTTAGTCTAATATAAAAAATGAAAATATGTATTTGATTTGATGTTTTCGAGGAAAAAATTTTAGATAAATAGTAAAATTTTGGTAAAATCCTTCAATTGATTAAAAATATATGTAACACAATATATATAAAAAAATTTTATAATAATAAATACGATTATATTCAGCCGTGCGTTAGAACGGACACCCGCTAGTATATAGTATTTGAATGCAGCCTATATAATTATGTATTAATTAAGTAATATTAGTAGCCAAGGCCAAGGGTGGTGACATGTTGATGACACACTTATTCACACCATAAAAATGGCAGAAGGGAAAATAAATATATATATATATATAATAAAAGGTACGTAATGCGTGTTCAAACAAATTCCTATAGTATTATTATTATTATTATTATTATAATGTTTCGGGGCAGTCAAACGGGGGACAAAATTTTCAGGGAATGTTTCTGGTCCCATGCACCTAAATAATGACACAACACAACACTCTTTCAAATTTGATGTTACTTATTTATTTATTCTATATTGTCATAAAATAATATATTTTATAATTAGAGTTTTCTTGCTGATTTTCACAAATGAAATGAAATGTGTTGTGCAGTGCTGCAACAAAAACAGGTTCGAACCTTTTGAGGCCTGAATTTTAGCTTCTGAATATGCTCTCACTTTATGACTTTAATTATTACATCTAATTATTATTTGTTACTAGAAAACAAAACCATCATGTTTTCATTATCATGGCACTACCAATATATATAATCAATTATTATGCCCCAAGCTGACATGTAATAATAATAATATCTTAAAATTTTATGATTAATGCAGAATTTGGGATATATTTGCAAATACAAATTCTACTAGTATTTCTTTTTTTGTATATAGTGCAAAAAACTAAATATCATGAAAGGACAATGGCTACTATAATCCATGCACAGAAGAATGTACGTACGTATTGTAAAATCAAGCAAAAAAATTGAATTATTTTGAAAAAATAAGTAATGGGGAATGTGGGGATAAATCAAATAAATGCAATGCAATGCAAGAAAGGGAACATTGAAGACAAAGAAACAAGAAAAAAGGAGAAGTAAAAGAGTGGCATAAGGCTGTGCTGATTTTCACCAAAAAAACAAGACAATGGGAATCTAAATAATGATTGATATAGTGAAAGAAAATTACTTGCAAAGAGAACAAAAATGCATGCCCCTAAAAGGGATCAAGATCATCCCTTTATTCATTCCATATATTTATGCATTAAGCAAATCCAAATTAATAATGTACCATGTAATTATAAAGTAGAAAATGTTCTAATAATGTCAGGTGAAGACCAAACAAGTGATGATTTGTAACCCTTTTATGGATATTTGGGCCTCACAATGTTAGATTGTCGAGCCCACTTAGCAAAAAGGCCCAATCTCCCATGCCATGTGATTAAAGCCACTCTATTCTTCCAATCCACAGACCACTCCAGACCTGCTGCAATCATTTCATTTTCCCACTTCCCCAAATTATTATTTTTTTCTTTTTGTCCCTTTCCTATTTATTTTATTTTTGTAATCATGGAATTAGTGTTAATTATAATAATTATTATTATTGGTCAATACTAGTGTTGGGAGTGACGAAAATCCCCCCACTCGTGCGTGCGTGCGGACACCTATCTCACACGCTTCTATTCTATAATTATTTATCTTGATTAAATAAATTAATTATTTTGTTACATAGGTAAACAAACCAAAACCACGCTTTTAGTGTAGTTTTATTGTCGTGTTTAGCCCAAAAATCTTTCTCAATCCGGCATCACGCTTTTTCCAAAATCGCTATTCTAAATATCTTTTTTCTAAAAAACAAATAAAATTTATCGAGTCCTGTCGTCGTCTGTCGTCCCTTTATTGGCCTCCTTTCCTCCATTTTTTTTTTTTCTTTAAAGTTTTCTTTTATTGCCCTTTCCTGTATAAATACATAGGGCAGTTCCACGAACCCCACTTGAAGTACATCACTACAATCCTCTCAAAACTTCCCGTTGGTGTCGTGTCGATCGATATTAATAATTGATACAAAACACACACATACAGAAACATCGATCACTTGGTAAGAAGAGATATTGTTGTGTTGGTGTTAAGGATTGGGGATTAATGGAGTCGTCTGATAAGGTAGTGGAGACTGTGATGGTTGGGAATTATGTGGAGATGGAGAGGGAAAGGTCCTCCAAGGCAGAAGACATCAAATCTAGGGTTTCCAAGCTCTTCTGGCATGGCGGATCCGCCTACGATGCCTGGTTCAGCTGCGCTTCCAATCAGGTCGGTCCTCTCATCATATCATACCTATCTCTCTCAATTTCTTCAATTACATACATATATGCATCAATCAATGGATTTACAGGTAGCTCAGGTGCTGCTGACATTGCCATACTCATTTTCCCAGCTGGGGATGGCGTCGGGGATAGCATTCCAGCTCTTCTACGGGTTGATGGGGAGCTGGACAGCATACCTGATAAGCATACTGTACGTGGAGTACAGGACGAGGAAGGAAAGGGAGAAAGTGGATTTCAGAAACCATGTGATCCAGTGGTTCGAAGTTCTGGATGGATTGCTGGGGAAGCACTGGAGGAACGTGGGCCTGGCCTTCAACTGCACATTTCTCCTCTTCGGATCAGTCATTCAGCTCATCGCCTGCGCCAGCAACATTTATTACATCAATAACAATCTTGACAAGAGAACCTGGACATACATCTTCGGAGCTTGCTGTGCCACCACTGTCTTCATCCCATCTTTCCACAATTACAGAATCTGGTCTTTTCTTGGCCTCCTAATGACCACTTACACTGCCTGGTATCTCACCATTGCATCCCTTCTCCATGGCCAGGTACCCCACCCCACCCCACCCCCACTTACAATTTCTGTGCATAAACCCTAGCTAGATTAATTTGGGGCATTTTTAGTTAGGTTTTTGTGATCAGATCTTGCCAGCATGTGACATGACTCTTAAAGAAATGGGGTGGGTTCAAATTCCCATTAGTCAAAGATATGTCACTACCAATTAGTTTTTTAAGGAAGTGTTCGTTGATTTCTAGATTTATTGCTTAATAAACAAATTTATGATTAAAATAAACTGCAGGTGGAGAATGTGAAGCACTCGGGTCCAACAAAAATGGTGTTGTATTTCACAGGAGCCACCAACATTCTCTATACATTCGGGGGACATGCTGTTACTGTGTAAGAAGACAAACAATCCTAATACGTATATATTTTAATCTTATATAAATATACTTAGATCATATTATTATTATTATTATTATTATTATTATTTTCTTCGCCACATTTTTTCGAGGGAGGGTTAAGTCATTGTCAAATTCTGTGGAAAGAATCTATAATAAGTGGGCTTTTTTAAGTTAGGTTAAATTTATTTATTTATTTATTTTTGGTGAAAGGGACATATCCTTAGCTATTATCGACAATTGACATGATCTGAGCAAGATCTAGTGACCCATCCATTTAATTTCCTTGTATAGTTTAAAGGTCCATTCACAAGTCATTTTCTTGGAATTTCAACAGTGCCCTCTTCCCAGGCGTGCCCTATCCAAAAAGTGGCACTTTCTTGTGACTCATTCTTGGGAGCTCCTGGGACTCCCAACTCCTCACATGGGTTTCGACCCATCAGGCGTTGGACTCCCAGGAGCCCCAACAACCACCAACCCTAGCGGCAGCCATTATTAAGACAGAGGAATTCTGTAAGAGCAGTGCTAGTTATAATAATCACTGTACGTAGGTAGCAGATTCAGGCCCATTTTTATCGTGTGGTGTCCGAATTCCAGTCTGCCATTGAATTAAATTAACCGAATTCAATTCACTGCTGCAGGCAGGCAGGCAGCAATGAGTTGATATTTGTTTATTAAAGAATATTTTATATATTATATTAATTAATTAATTAATTAATTAATTGAATTGGATTGGATGCAGAGAAGTCATGCACGCAATGTGGAAGCCTCAAAAATTCAAAGCAATATACTTATGGGCCACAGTGTATGTCCTGACACTAACCCTCCCTTCTGCCTCTGCTGTCTACTGGGCTTTTGGCGATTTACTCCTCAACCACTCCAATGCATTTTCACTCCTCCCTAGATCGCCCTTCAGGGACATGGCTGTCATTTTAATGCTCATCCACCAGGTAATTAATTATTATTATTATTATTGATTAATTAATTAATCAATAACAATAATAATTAATAATTTGTGCAGTTCATCACATTCGGGTTCGCATGCACGCCGCTGTATTTTGTGTGGGAGAAGGCCATAGGGATGCACGAATGCAAGAGCATGTGCAAGAGGGCGGCGGCGCGGCTGCCGGTGGTGGTTCCGATATGGTTCTTGGCCATCATCTTCCCATTCTTTGGACCCATCAATTCCACCGTCGGATCTCTCCTTGTTAGCTTCACTGTCTACATTATTCCTGCTTTGGCACATATGTTCACCTTCAGATCACCTGCTGCTCGAGAGGTAATCAATAAGTATTTATTTATTTATTCATTCATTACAACATTAGTAGTAATGAAATTGTAATTAATTATGGGTGGTGTTGCAGAATGCAGTGGAGCAGCCAGGGAAGTACTTTGGGAGGTGGGTGGGGGCATACGTGATCAACATCTTCGTGGTGGTATGGATCCTGATTGTCGGGTTCGGGTTCGGCGGGTGGGCCAGCATGACCAACTTCATCCACCAAATTGATACTTTTGGTCTGTTCACTAAGTGCTACCAGTGCCGCCCTCAGCCTCCCCCGCCGACGCACCTCCCCGGCGCCGCCGCCCCTCTTCCACCACCGCCGGCCAACCACTCTCATGCGCTGCCGCCTCGTCTACATAGGACTTGACCCGTTTGCGTTATTCGGGTCGGGTTATCAGTCATTTTTGGGGAAGTGTTGGTTCTGTGTTTTTTTTATTTCTACTAGACTATGGATAATGTAGTTGTTTACAAATGGGTGTGGGGTTCCTGCAATCAATCAAATATCAATGGAGTATGTGGGCTAATGACCAGATATTATGCTCTTGTTTGTATTGTCATTAGCAACACCATTTATCACTAATATATTCATGGTTAAATAAAATGAAATGCACATTTTTGTGCTCTAAAATCAAAAGGTAGCCTGAATCAACTAAAGCATTTCTTTAGGGCATTAGGACATGAACCAAATCAATACCTCATCAAATCCTGCTTTGATCATTTAGACCTCTGATGGTTTTTCAGATATCTTTGAAAAAGAACCTAAGATCCAATAAACATGCCTAAATCATTTATAACACAATCAATATTAATGATCCTAAGTAATCAAGAACACATAAATTTGCAATAGCAACTACTCCAAACAACAACAAAACAAAAGAAGGAAAACACAGCTGCCCAAACAGGGGCCCTTGAAAAGGAGAGGTTCTTTTCAATTGAAGCCTTTCATTTAGAGAGAATAATAGAATAGCATGACACAGCTGCCAAAAGCCAAAAACTATCAAATCATGGTCAAGCATATCATTTTCTTCTAGTAAATCTAATATTCTAATTCCATCCTCTCTCAGTATCTACCCAATAGCCCTGTTGTTCAAAGAAAGAGTTGTACCATTGTACCTCCACCTCCACAATTCTTCAGCATAGACTACACATAGTGATATGCTTAGACAGCATATAAACTAGCATGTAAAACAGTAGCAGATGATACTTCAGGAATGCAGAAACATGGAGGAAATTCATGTTCCATTATCATTTATAACCCCAGAAAGTAGCCAACATGCATATGGATATACATGTATACACCATCAACAAAAATCACACACAAGCCGCAGCAGAGCAAAATTTAAAGCCAACATCAATCACCATTTTCAGATTCAACACTTATATCTTCTAAAGAAAACCATCCAGGACAAAACAAACGCCATTAAAATACTGATAATTTAGCCTTTTTTGCAGAAAGGCATTGGGTAGCAAAACAAGATAACTAGCCGATAGAGCTGAAGGTGTACCACCAAGGGTAAAATGATTTTAAGTTCAGCGGTTGTTGGGGCATTCACGGGCAAAATGCCCTTCTTCCCCACAGGTATAGCAACCACCTCCTCCACCACCGCCGTACCTTCCACCCCCGCCGCCGCCGCCACCCTGGGGACACTCCCTGGCCATATGACCTGCCTCACCGCACTTGAAACAACCGCTTCCATAGCCACCACCGCCACCGCCTCCATATCCCCCGCCACCGCCATATCCGCCGCCTCCACCCCCTCCTTGTGGACACTCGCGCGCCATATGCCCAGTCTCGCCGCAATTGAAACAGCCACCGCCTCCTCCACCTCCACCGCCTCCTCCATATCCACCACCACCGCCATAAGACCGGCCACCACCACCCCTACTTCCACCGTTGTAGCCTCCCCCTCCGCCCCCGCCACCGCTTCTTCCTCCGTACGATCCGCGAGTGCTTCCTTGCACGGGCGCACCGTCAGGTCCAGTCACGTTCACTGCCTTAGCGCGGCCGTCGTCGCTGTACTCCACCAGGTACTCGACCTGCTCACCTTCCCCGAGGCTGCGAAAACCGTCAGATTTGATGACCGATTGATGAACGAACAGATCTTCAGTTCCATCATCTGGAGTGATGAATCCAAACCCTTTCTGATCATTGAACCACTTCACAGTTCCCCTCTTCACCTCGCTTTCCGCCATGGATGGATGCAAAAGAAAAAAAAAAAAAACCCTAGCTTGTTCTTTCTCTGGAAATTTCGCCGCTTTGTTTTGGGGAGAGTGAGTGGGTGCGCTTTAAAGAGTTGTACCATTGAACCGCATTATATTTGCATCGTGTCACGTAAGCAGGCGGATTTGAACCGATTTATTTTTGTAATAATAATATAACTGGCAGGTAATTAATTTCTGGGTGGGGTCCGAATTATTCTCTGTTTTTTTTATAAATATTTACTGTTTTTTTCTTTTAATTTAACTTGGACGCAGACTGGAATCAAAGCGACGGCTGGCGCTTACCGAGAAAATCTGACGGTGAGGGATAGCCATGGCTCTCCCTTGACCGTTCGATCCTGAGCCTTGTCTTGTCAGACGAATGGTCAATCATATTTATTGTCCATTTCCCAAACCCAGATCTTTCGCATGCATAAATATTACACTATTTATATTAATTCGACTTTTATAAGTGATTGACATATATTATATAAATTATGGTAATATATGTATATATTATAATTTCTTACATAATATCTATAAAGAAATGTGTTATCTAAAAATACATTGGGAATAAAATATACTATTAAAATATTTTGCCATAATAATTTCAAATGTATTTGAGAAGGAGAAGGAAGGGCTGAGCGACGATGGAATTTGATAAGGAAGAAACTGTGTGATTGAAATATGGGATTAAGTTAAAATTGAACTACAATATCAATTAATTTATTCTAAATAAAATTAGATTATATTATAAAATATGAGCTGAAAAATAGGGTGATCTCATAATATAAGTTGGGCTATAGCATTATTTATATATAAATAAAATTAAAATACATTCAAAAATAATACTTTCTACTCCTCTAATCGTCTATTTATTTTATATTTTGGTATGTCCTATAGTAAACTATACATTTTCTTTTTTTTAATAATAATATCTTTTACTAACATTAAAAGTATCCTTGCAACTTAAAATATATTATATAAATGTCATTATTTTTATATCTAATAATACTAATAAAAATATTTTAATTTTTTCTTCACTTTATTCGTAATATTAATATTTCTAAAAATTCATATAAAAAATAAACAGATACACGGATGAAATAATAATTATTTGAGGGTAAGGCAGAGTTGCAGGCCTGCATATAATAAATATATTTATTATTATTATTTTAAAATATTACATTCGTTATGTTTTAAATTTTTTATTTATTTTTTTGAATTAATATTTAAATATTAATTATTATATAAAAATATAATAAAAATTAAGGGAAAATGACAAACAAGTTTTATTAGTGTCTTATAATATTATTACAATGACATTTGTGTAAAAATTATACAAATATAATGATATTTTTAATATTAATTATAATAACGAAAAAATGTAAATGAGAATTTAAGTGTTGGAGGAAAAGAGTAGTAATTATAGAAAAATTTGAATTATATTAGCATTTTTTTTATCTCATATAAAGTGGCTATTTTTTTTGGTTAGTTACACATAATTTATTATTTTATTTTTTACAAAATAATTATATATTTTAATTATATTTTAAATTTATAATTTTTAAATTTTAAATTAAGCTATTTAATTATTTTAATTTTACTTTATAATTATTTTTTATTATATATTATTTTTATTAATATTTTTTTAAATACTTATTAATTATATTTTAACTAAATTATCGTATTTACGATAACATAGACATATTATGTTATGGTTTGCCCAGCCAACCATAACATTTCTTTTTTTTCTTTTTATTTTTATTTTTTTCTCATAAAACTCTTGGCGCAGAATTCATGATCAAAGTAAACTAGATCTTAAGATGTCCGGGATTGCATACTTAAAAGAGAGTACTGATTTATGTGTTCTCTAAAAAGAGAGTACGGGTGAACCTTCTGTGAAGACGGGAGTTACATTTATTCAACAGTAATTTAGGAATTACTGAAAGCTATAAAATTCGACGGAGATAATCTGCTGACCAACGTGCATCAAAGAAGCAAGAAAATGAGGAAGATTAGCAGAAACTTTGTCAGAGACACCGTTGGAAAAGCATGCAAGAAGATGAAATTATTACCAAATCTTTTAAAAATATGTAATATAATTAAAAGAAATTTAGTCCGATTCTTTTTAATTATAAAAAAAAAAAACACAGAATAATTAAAAATTAATATTATAATTTTTTTATTCAAATTAATAAAAAACAAATAAGTATTTAATTTTTAAAAATTCTATAGAATATATATATTACATGGTATTAAAGAAAAAAGTTAAATAGTTAGAGAGGGCCAAATACCCGTTGGCTCCGCCATTGACAACAAGTGAGATATTATTTAGGAAAAATATACATATATGATTTTTATTTTATTTTTCAGAGTTTAGTAGTATTGTGAAACGAAGAAAAAATAGAACTAGTATTAATTATATTTTCTTAGATGTTTTAATAATCTCTAGAATATATGACAATATTTTGTATATATTTTTAATACTATATTTTTGGTATAATATTTTTAGTTATGGTGTAATGTTTGAGTTTGATAGAATATTTTTCTCTAAACACAAGAGATAGCTTTTAGATCTTTTTATATTGTGTATGTATAGTCATCTGCCTAATGTATTGTAATATTTGAGAATATTATATTTATTTGTGATAGAATATTTTGAGTTAGAACAGAATATTTAGATTTTTTTGTAGAATATTTTTGTTTAAAAATAGGCCGTAGCTATGTGAATCTTATCAAAATAACGAGTATAAAAAATATTCCAACACTATATTGAACTATTTGTATTCGGTATATTGATTTTGATGACTTCCTGATTTTTTAAAAATTACTTTGATGATAAAAACTATAATTAATATAGGGTGTGTTTGCTTAGTCACATATAAAGTGTATGTGTGAAGTTTGGTTTTGAGTAATAAGATTGTTATGTTTATGGATAAATTGCATTTGTAGTATCATTGAATAATATATCAATTATTTTTGTAAAAAAATCACTAAAAATAGTCCTTTCGATAAAATTTTAGTTATTTTTTTATTTTGTTGAGATGCAACGGAATTTGATGACCGACAATATGTTCATGTGATTCTTTTTTTATTTTTTTACATTAATTGCGGTTATCGATTATAATTTTTCATATTTTTCATTAATTTAGTTGAATTTAATTTCGTATTAAGAAATAAAGAAAGTGAAAAATATGCCAAAATTTCAGAAGATAACTTCATTTTCAGTATGCCAACAACCCAAAGAAAAAGATATATTGAATATTTTGGCATCAACAAAAATTTGTGAAGGAAAAAAAAAGAAAAATCTAAATCCAATTTTAGTTTTGTATTAATATTTATTTTGTGATAAAAGTATTGTGATATATGTTACACGAATTATTACAACCTATTCTCAATTTATTTCTAATGTGACCAAATAGATAAGTTAAATAAAATAAAAAGTAGATACAGAAACAAGAAAAAAGAGCCAAATTGGGGAACATGAACATGGCTATTGTTGATTATTGATGAGGGTTGGGTGTGTTTCTATTTGTATGCATTTACTCCATTCATTTCCCATTGTCTTCACTTCAATTTATTGAATGTTATATTTTTTTATTAGAAATAAAATTTAAATACTCCTTCAGTCTAGGTGCAAGGTTGCCGTTTACTTTTTAATATTAGTATTATAATAGGTTGTAGTGAAAAATACGAAAATACTCTTGTTAGTATTGTGTAATATAAAAGTAATAATATTTGTTTAATATAAAGTAAGTTTGAAGAGTATTTATTATGTTAGATATGTAGTACAGTTACTAAATTAGTAAATGATAATTTTGTTTTGGGACGGACTAAAATAAAAAATAAAAATATTTCAATTGGACAAAGGAAATCTATTATTTTAAATTTAAGAATGAATATTAAATATAACATGTGTTACTATAGTTTACATATTATACTCGTACCATTATTCGAAACACAAAGTCACAAGCATTATTATTAATTGGTGAATAATAATAACAATAATGGAATTGAGGCTACCATACATAGATATGATCAATATATAATAAAATATTATTTAACCAATATATTTGACCAAATTTAAAAACTTTAGGTTGTGTGTTTTTTTTTTTTTTTTTTTTTAATTTTATAACAGATTTTTATTATTTATTTTTTTTTAAAAAAAACATCATATCAAACAATTATTATTTTTTTATATTATATTAAAATTTTAGTTTACATTGAAAATATCACATCAATATCAATTTATATCATATCAAACAACTGTTCAAATTTAACTTTTTACTAGTATTTAAAAATCCAAACCCAAAAACTTAAACCCACAAACAAACACACCCTTAAACTTTATTTGTTCGTGGGATTTCAATTTTGAATTGTATTTTTAGTATTAATTTTTTTAATTAAAATAGTTAATGATGTAATATTGATATTGACTTGATATTTAAAATATAAAATTAATTTTAAATATAATATAAAAATAAAAAGTAAATACTATTTTATTAGATATTTTTGAAAGATTATATATAATAAAAACATAAATTAGATTGTTAATTTAATTTTTTAATTAAATAATATTCTAATTTGATATTCTGTACTATAAAATAATACTATATTTTTATAATAATATTAAGATCTTGGTTACCAAACAAACCATTGCTCTTGCCTATACCTTTTTTTCTTTCTTATTATTATTTTTTATCTTCAAATCTTTTTTCTTATACCTTCAAGAGTTGTTTTTCTAATAGCAATATTGTTAGAATATTGTCCCACATTAGTAAATATTTATTTAGTACTCTATTCGTCTCACATACCATGTCCACATTTATGTCAGTCCTACATTCTAATTTTATTTTAAATTTATTTTTTTATTTTTTTTAATTAAACTAATTAATTATTTTAATTTTAATTTATAATTATTTATATTATAAAATAATTATTTTCACTGATACTGAGGGAGTATAATATTTAGCATATGATTTTATTACAATATACTACTCCGGTATTTATTAATTCCTATTTCTTTGGGATTGGAATGAAAGGCGGGAGGGAGGCGGCCATTTTCACGTTGAACAACAACGGTACGGACGGCCCCATCTCCACTACCATCCTCAGATCCCAATCCACAGTTGCAATCAATCCTCGCCGTCCATCGCCTCTGATCTCTTCCTTCAAATTTCACCTCGCTCTCTTCAACTTTATACTCTCTCTCTGTCTCTGTCTCTCTATATATCTATATATAGGTGTATATGCAATCCATGGGCTAACTTCGCGAAAAGTTCGTCTTCTTTCTACTGCAAATCCAATAACCTTGACAATATATATATATATATATATTATATTATATTTACCCGTTCCTCCGTCGCTGGATATCCGTGGTATACCGTTCCTGGTGAGTCCTTTGTATTCCTTGTTTATGACCTTATGTGGTTTTGGTTTTTCTGAATATTATTAATTCATGCTAAGCCCTAGTTGTGATCCATTTTAGGGATTTGTGTTTATGCGCCTTTTCCCGATATATAGATATATTCAAAGGCCGTGTGGCTATGGGAAAACTGCTATGCGAATTCTGGCCAGTTGTATTATTCGCCAGTTGATGGTGTTTAGGGTCTTAGAAGTTTGAAGGAGGTATTACTCTGTTCCATTATCGTTTCATAAAGCAGGGAGGAGTTCTACGAGTCATTTTTTGTTATCATCGAGTGACATGGATTTTTTTGTTTAGTAAATTTCGTCTCTTTCAAATGGTCTTCATGTGTTTAGTTTGCCAGTATGCGCAAGTGATACTGATATCCTGAATCTAAGTTTATTGTGATTAGAAAGGTTAAGGATGATCTTTTGCCTTCGTTTGTGATATAGTTGATTCAGTTATTACCAGGAAATTTCAGTAATTTTGTTGATTGTTTTGCCTTGGTTTGTGATATAGTTGATTAAGTTATTACCAGGAAATTTCAGTAATTTTGTTGATTGTTTCGCCTTGAAATTAGACCAGTGAATTTCTCACGGTAATTATATTCTTGTTTTTAAAAAAATCAGGTTGTTGTTGATTAAGTTTCTCTGATGGAAAATGACGTTGGTTTTGCTGAAGAAGCCAAAATAGGGGAGAGAAAGGCTGTTGAACGTCAACTTTCGGAGCCCAGTGTGGAGGAAACTGTTGATTTGAGTTTTGAGGTTTCAAAAGGATCTGATGAGGGTGATGAAGTACCAGAAGAGATTGTTGGGGCTGAATCCTCTAGTGCTGGTTCTGAGAGCATCGCCTCCACTAAAGATGGGAACTTTAGATTAGATGACACGATGAGTGATGTTAGGGTACATTCTGATGAGGTTGATGAAGATAGGAAGCTTGGTGAAGTTTTTGAGGAACCTTGTGCTGCCCTAGATATGGAGGATGGTGTAGCCGAAACTGTAACACTCAGGAGTGAAGAGAGTTGTGATGAAGAGAAAGTGTCTAATGACAATCTTGTAGGGGGTGAAAAGAATGGATCGATGGATGGTGCGATCGCTAAGAGCCAAAAAGATGATGACAAGAAAATTCTTGATTCAGGAACTGCTGATGGAGAAACTGAGAAAGTGAGAGATGGAATCAGGTTGGGCCCTCCCAATCTAAAGCCTGCATCTGATGCAACAAATAAATTGAGTTATCTTGAAGTATTGACATCTAGAGATGCAGAAATTGTGGAGGCAGATAGCAAAGGAGAACCGATTCATCAGATGCAGGATGGTAAAAAACTGGCAACCGGAGCTGAGACTGATGTAGAGAAGCATGAAACTTCCAAATTTCAAGATATTGACGAAGTTGGAAAATTTCTTCATTCTGACATTCCTGAAATCGATTCCTCTTATGATAGGACATTGGTGAATTCTGAAGTAAGGAAGAGTGCGGATTCCAATTCTCTGAAGGGACATATTCATGAGACACGACCCCAAATTGAAGATGCAGATGCTATCACAGGAAGTGGAGCTAGCCGTAGGCTAGAATCAAAGTCCAATGGAAATACTATCTATAAAATTGAGCAGGATGCTGCACCATATACTGAACTTCAGCAAGCCAAGTATGAAAACTCCATGGCTAAGGATCAAAAAGGAGGACTTCCAGAAAATTCTCATGCTTCTGATGATATTATTTTAGATGATATGGCTCAAGAACTGAAGAAGCAAGATTCAGAATGTGGGCTAGTTGAAGAGGTTCATAAGCATGGTATTGGGAAGGAAAAAACCAGTGGCACTGCATCTGCAGATACTTCCACTGCCGATCAATCTGAAAAAAATGACCGCGACACTAACTTGCATCCTTCCCTTGTTGACGACAGCACTCCGAACCAGGAGAGAGAAGCCAATCCTCATTCCATGACATCTAAGTCAGCTGTGCAAAGTTCTACCCCTTCTGGACATCAGCTAGTTGATGCAACCAGCATTGATGCTTCCAGAAGCATAATGGATAGACCAGAACAGGAAGGAGTGAAAGATGAGAAGGGAAGTAAAGAACAGGAGGTCAGACCTGTTGCTGGCGCCTCATCATCTTCTGGCAACACTTCCACCTCAGAACATACTCCTACTCATCCTGCCATTGTTGAGCATCCTGCTAAGTTACAGGGGTCTGTTCCTCAGGATAAATTATCTAGTGCTGAAAAAGTAGAATCCTCATCAGAAATTTCCTCTGCCAATTCTTCTAGTCCTCATTCTTCTGGCCTTAAGCATACAACCCCTCCACAGGGGCCTGGTTCACAAAGCAAAGAACAAGGGTCTCGGTCTGCTACTGAAAATACATCCACCAATGTTATGTCCTCAACTTCTGCTCATCCTGCTGGCCTTGGGCGTGCTGCACCTCTACCAGAGCCTACTACTGACCATGCCCAGCATCGTCGTGTAAATGGAGCTGTTTCTGCAGCGCAAAATCAACCCATTGAAGAACCCTCCAATGGAGAGGCTGAGGAGTATGATGAGACCCGCGAAAAGCTCCAAACGATTCGTGTTAAATTTCTTCGTCTTGCACATAGGCTTGGGCAAACTCCTCACAACGTTGTTGTTGCTCAGGTATTGTATCGATTAGGTTTGGCGGAGCAGCTGCATGGGAGAACTGGGGGACGAGTTGGTGCATTTAACTTTGATCGTGCAAGTGCAAAGGCCGAGCAACTGGAAGCAGCTGGGAACGAACCCTTGGATTTTACGTGCACAATCATGGTCCTGGGGATTACAGGGGTTGGGAAAAGTGCAACTATAAATTCCATATTTGATGAAGTTATTTTTGGCACTGATGCATTTCAGTCAGGCACCAAGAAGGTTCAGGATGTTGTTGGAACTGTGCAAGGAATCAGGGTACGCGTCATTGACACGCCTGGGCTCCTGCCCTCTTTGTCAGATCATCGCAAGAACGAGAAAGTTCTTCGTTCTGTCAAAAGGTTTATTAAGAATTCACCTCCTGATATTGTTTTATATCTTGATAGATTGGACATGCAAAGCAGAGATTCTGGTGACATGCCTTCGCTACGGGCCATCACTGAAATCTTCGGTCCATCTATTTGGTTCAATGCAATAGTTGTTCTGACTCATGCTGCAGCTCCGCCGCCAGAAGGTCCAAATGGCACTGCAACAAGTTATGATATGTTTGTGACCCAGAGGTCCCATGTTGTGCAGCAAGCAATACGCCAGGCTGCCGGAGATATGCGCCTTATGAATCCTGTTTCTTTGGTAGAGAATCATTCAGCTTGCAGGACAAACAGAGCTGGGCAGAGGGTGTTGCCAAATGGTCAAGTTTGGAAGCCTCACTTGTTGCTCCTATCTTTTGCTTCGAAAATTTTGGCTGAAGCAAACACACTATTGAAGTTGCAAGACAACCCCCCTGGGAGATCTTTTGCTCCTCGGACAAGGTCGCCTCCTTTACCTCTCCTTCTTTCATCTCTTCTCCAGTCAAGACCTGATGTCAAACTTCCATGGGACCGATTTGGCGATGGTGATGATGATATAGATGATGATCTGGATGATTTCGCAGACCTGGAAGAGGAATCAGAGTATGATCAATTGCCCCCCTTCAAATCATTGACTAAAGCCCAGCTGGACAAACTTAGTAAAGAACAGAGGAAGGCGTATTATGACGAGGTAGAATTCAGGGAAAAGCTTTTCATGAAAAAAAATTTGAACGATAGGAGGATGTTGAAGAAAATGCAGGAATCAACAAAGGATGTGTCTTTTGACTACCATGGCTGGGATGGTGAAGTACCTGTACCTAGCGTGGTGCTGCCTACCACTTTTGGTTCAGATAATCCAACTCATCGATATCATCCTCCTTATTTGTCTAGCCCTTGGGTTGTGAGGCCTATTCCGGAACCCAATGTGTGGGATCATGACTTTGGATATGATGGACTGAATGTCGAGAGATTATTCGTGGTCAAGAACAAGGTGCCGATATCATTCTCTAGCTACTTCTCAAAGGACAAGAATGGTGCAAACCTTCAAGTGGAACTTGCAAGTTCTGTGAAGCATGGGAAGGGGAAGGCAACCTCACTAGGCTTTGATATGCAGTCTGTTGGGAAGGACTATGCTTATACTATACGAGGTGAGACTAGATTTAAGAATAATAAAACAAACAAAGCAGTTGCTGGTTTCTCAGCTACTCTTTTTGGGGATGCTTTTACCTGTGGTCTGAAAGTGGAGGACAAAGTTAGTGTTGGCAAGCTGGGACAGATACTTGTCTCGGGTGGTACCATTTATGGTCATGGTGAGTTTGCCTATGGTGGTAGTTTGGAAGCAACACTTAAAGACAAATACTTCCCTGCGGGGAACTTTTCATCGACCTTAGGCCTTTCTGTGATGGATTGGCATGGAGATCTTGCTACGGGATGCAATTTCCAGAGCCAGATCCCTATTGGAAGACATTCAAAGTTGATCGGAGACCTTAATGTTAATAACAGGGGGTCTGGACAGTTACGTGTTCGAGTCAACAGTTCAGAGAATGTTCAAATTCTATTGGCTGGCTTATATCCGCTTGCAAAGTATCTACTTTATATTGTCAATAAATACAATATGAGAAACACCGCAAGTTGATGGAGGATGGTGACGGCCCTTGGATGTTACCGATTGTTTCTATGGTTGTCATCCTTTGCAGATCAGAAGCAACAGCTATAGGTATTGCTTTTCATGATTGACTAATTGTTTTGTTATAAGCCATGTATATCTTTGATGTTGATGCCTACTAAGTATTCGATTCTTGGCAGTGTTCAATTGTTTCTATGGTTGTCATCCTTACTTAATGTGCTTTGTGATTGCGATTTAGTGCTGGAAGGTTAATCGTGCTATAATAATTGGTTGATTACATTTGTTTGGTTTTTTTTGGAATGTGTTGTGAATGTTAGTTGAAATGCTGTTTGTTAAATTATCTGATATGTATTGTATATATGTTACCAAACAGGCAACAAAATAATAATACTTGGAAGGAGAAATATGCAGTGTGGCTGCGAGAGGATGATACTAAGAGAATGAATGGTTTCTTGGAAGCATTCAAGCAGGAGCAGAAGGTCTTAGCTTACTTGGGCACTTTATATATTTTGTATATTCTACTTTAAATTTTTGCCGAATGAATGTTTGGTTTTTCTTTGTTATTCTGACTTGATGATGAGTTGGTTTGAGCCTTGATTGAATGTCCGTTTGGTAGTTGAAATAGTTAGTATGGTCATTGTAGGAGCATAAGAATACTTTCTAGGTACACAAAATGATTGATTGAACTAACTATGAATATGAATGAATCAATGAATCAATCAATGCCATAAATTTGTGTATTCAAAATTAGATAATTAACACAAGAAATTTATGGGCACCAAGAACCAAACCTTTCCATCTTAAACCAAAAGCTCGCTATGCAAACCAGGATGTACAGGGCAGGGCATGGCGATCGAGCTAGCTAGTTAGCTATCTTTGAACTGCCTTTGGTGCCGGCCACTGTAATAAGAGCACAAGATCAGCCTGACACCATCGTGTGTTTGTTGATGTGGATGAATCGGCAAGAATTATGCCCTGCATTCGTCTCCTCCGAAACAAAGATATATCTAACTAATCCGAAGTGGTTAATGTGAGCAAATGTGTTGCTTCTAAACTTCTTGAAGTATCTTCATTGTACCAAGTCATGGATCGGGACCCTGTGAAGGATTAGTGAATACATATTTGGTTGTAACTTTACAGTTGAAGTTATATCATCACCTTATAGAACTAAAACTGATGCCGTAAAAAGTTAAAACCTTGCTGGCATACCTGTTGTGGCTGGGGACTCTTCATCTCGTGTTGTATGGAGTATAATTGTTCCTGAGATAACTGTGATGAATCCACATATTTCAGAGGTTATGCTGCTCACATTCTGACCCGACCATTCCTGCACAGGGAATACATTCTCTGTTAGTGAAACTACAACTGTCTAAAAACTCAAGGAATAACAGCTCCAGGAGAATGATCAATTACCTTGAACATTATAGTGCTTGCAACAATAGTTAAAGTTGTGAACATCACATAATATATAGGAGAAACAATTGCGGCATTGAAGGTGTCGAGTGCCTACATAAAACAGGTTGAAGAGCAATAATGTTGAGAAAGAGAAGAATGGAAAGAATGCACAAACACAAAACGTGTAGTCAATTAGAAAAACATTTTACAGGGAAAGCAGAAGGCATTCAAATGGATTAAAGACCCTTCTTGATATATTACTATAATGGCTGTAGAGAGATAGAAACTGAGACAGAGACTGCATCTAATTGGCTACTCCTTCAGAAATATGAAATGAAAATGCACGCTCTAACTGTAGTAAACATTAATCCTCCCAAGATATGAATAATATAAGGAAAACAAAAAGTGAAACATGCGATAACTCAAGCTTCCTTGGAACACAATCCAACTATAAAAAGCATACTATAGCTACCTTGTTCAAATAATTCAGCTGTGTAATCACACAAATTACTGAAACCGAAAGAAAAAACCAGGTCTGAGCATATCCAAATTGATTTATCCCCTCCAAAGTAAGCTTAATGGCGATACCAATTGCCTTTATGCTCATGACCTACAAGATAATTTCGACTATAATGTTAAAAAAAAAAAAGAAAAAAAGAAGAAGATAATCCATCAATCAGTTTGGAACTCTTAAGTTGAAGTTAATAATCAGTAGAGATGTGAAGTAATGAAGGAAAATAATAAGCAATTACCGTAAGCGCCCCCATCAAGGAACATATCCCCAAGTAAACCAGCACATTTGTCTGGCCGTAGAGAGGCTCAAAATGTAGCATCAGCACAAACACAACAGACAATGTAGCTATCACATAAATAAGAAATTCTGTAGGCAGACACAATGAGCATAAAATCAGCAATAGCTAGAGTAAGAACAGCAAATAATTTAGAGTGAGAAAAAGAAGGGGAAAAAAAAAAAGGAACCAAAGGCAGGAACCTGGTTGAGTGGCCAAATTCCAGACTTCATGTACAGAGCTTGGAATGCGTTCTTGGGGTGCATGTACAATTATCTCTACAGATCCTACGATACATGACACGCATCCTAAAATGCCCATCCGCCGCAACCGCTCGCTCAACATAAAGTGTGCAAGCACAGCACTAATCATGAAAGTTGTTAACAAAGTAAACTATGATAAAGTCATAATTATTACAAAGAAACTCTTAAGAAATTGTACATACCTAATAATTATACTCAATGCACCTAGAGGGGTCACTAGAACAGCTGGTGCAAAAATATAAGCTACAAAATTTGCTATCTCTCCAACAATCACTATGCAGAAAGAAAAATAATACATCATGAGATAACAGCCAGAAGACTTGGAGGAAAATAAAGAGGTGAATATTCAAAACTTACTGGTGATCATTCCCACCCACCAAAGAGGTTCAAATAAATAGGTGTAACCTCCAACACCTGCAATACTAATAACCCAGAAATGAGCTAAAGAAGGTTAAGGTTGCATAAAATACATTGAAATTTCTGCAAGACCACAGTTCATGATTACGATTTTGGGGGAGATAGGTGTAATCATGAATTGTGGTCTTGCATAAACATAATAAGGATTAATAGGAGAACACTTCTTTTTTTAGCTTTCTCTAGCTCTAGCTTTCACTCACGAGTGAAATAAACTTAAAAGGTAGCATTTACTCGATAAAGAGACTATATATAAAAAGAAAACATTTGCTCATCAATAAACATTTCAAATCAACAAATACAATAAAATACAGGGATCATCTAAGAAGGTTGCTGACAGCATATGCTGTGAGGAGAATCAATAGTTACATAAGAACAAAAGCCTGTCTAGCTTCTCATTGCACCAGGAAATGAAAAGTTCACAGAACAATTCAAATAGATGAGTAGACTCAAATTCAACTATAATTCACACGGTTGACCCATCATAAGAGCTACCATTATGTATCAATTTTCCAACCAACAATCATAATTTCGCAAAAGTGGTGCATAAAGTTAGGACTTGAATCCCATAGAAAAGAGCTCAGAAAACTCCTTGTTTGAGTTTTCGACACTCATGAAGAGTATCTTAAGTATAAGTTTCACTCATCTTCGCAATGTGGTGCTAAATTAAAAATAATACCAACGACTTTATGCTTCACATAATTACAAGAATTACAATCTTCCACTCGAGTGTTACAAATATGCAGAATACATTAGTTCTTCGACGCCTTAATCACGATTCACATACAGACTGAGCAAAAACTAAATCTCTTCTCTGCAACAACTAAAGCCGGCACAGTTAAGAAACTGAATAATGCTAATATCGATTAATCGAATCACAAATATCTCTATTTGTGTAAATCAAAACTCAAGTACATAAAAGTAGGTCACAATTTACACACATTCTCCATGAATAGAACTGGGAAAACGACAATAGTGATCGACAAACTTATTCGTACCTGCACGAGTACCAGCTGCAGCAGCACGACGGAGACCTTTCTTTTTAAAAATGAAACTCGCTCCAATAAACAAACTCGACACTATTGCCAATATCAACCCCTTGGTATTATCCGATACCCCCATACCCCCACGCCGATCCTTGTATATGCAATCAACTTAATTATCCGAATCCACAGATCAAAACAAACAAGCAAACCATAAATTACAATTAGTGAACTCCAATCTGCACAAACAGGCAGCCAACACAAACACAATCAACAACCAGCTCCCTTCGGAAGTTGAATTCGTAGCAGAACGATTCTCCGGTTGCTTCGAACCACCGATTAGGCAGGTGCAGAGATGAGGCGGAGATGCGGCGAGTGGTCGGAAACTTCCAGCAGGTTTGGCGTTGGGTGATTGGGCAGAGATTGTCTTGGGGAAGAAGAGAAGACGATCAATACTGAATTATTTCTTTCCATTTGTACCACTTGCTGGCTCATCAATCATATATTATTTCGGTATTAATTATTCTGCTGTAACTTTTTATTTACAAGCCGTATTTATTTATTAGTACATAATAATAATAACTACCTGCACAAATTACTTTTTTTTTTTTAAAAAAATAATAATAATAAATAAAAAGGACTATTTTCATCGCTTTCTACTTTACATAATTTTCTATTTTACTATTGAGACCTTTTCTGATAATTTTATACGAGACTTCAAATTTCATCCTATTTCTTAGATATGATAGAATAGTTGTAAAATTGATATAATAATTACGAATTAAGTAGTACTCCCTCCGTCCCAAACACCTTGCAATATTTCATTTTTTTATGTTTCAAACACTCTGCAAACATTTTCAAAATAAGACATAATTAATTATACTTCATCTCCACTCCACACTTCATCTCCTCACATCATCCAAATAAAAAAATAAAATATATATTTCTCTCTTCATCACATCATCTAATTTCTAAATTATCCTATTTAATACTACCCACCTAAAGACCTAGTGCCAAAAACAAATGTTGCACCTTGTTTGGGACGGAAGAAGTATATAAAAATAAATTTGTAATTTTCAAAGTAAATATGTAATTAAAATAATATTCCTTCTGAGATAATTATGCTACTTTTTTTTTACTATAAGTTGAACTTAAAATAATTTTATATTCTCACAAATTATTATTCTTATTTTAATAAATAATAATAATATATTATTTTTTAATTAATTATTCCTATATTTTTTACATATATTATTTTTATATTAAAATATTATTATTTTTTTAATTTTTGTGTTTAGATAAAATGGAATAAAAAAATTGATGAAGAAAGTATTATGTAGTAAAATAACACTTAGCCTTTAGAAAATAGACGTTAGAGTTTGTTTCTTTAATTTTTAAATCAAAATTAATATTATCCATCATGCATAATTCAATAAATAAATATTATTTTATTTTTTAAAATATTATATTAAAATACTATTAAAATAAAAATTCAAATCATATTCCTATTTCAAATTACAATCAAACTATCCTTTTATATAATGCAAGGACGTGGCTAATTTTGTGCGCCCAAATTGGTAGCTCTTTTATTCCAGGCTAAGGGCAACGGGAGACGCTTGTTGAGAAGCGCCTCCCACGTCATCATTTATTAAATAAAAAAAAAATTAAAACACCAATTAACATAAGGAACGGTACATTGCGAGTGTACCGTTTCTTCCAATTTTTGTGGGCCATGGTCCACTTTTTTATTCAATAAATATTAAAAATAATATTTATAATATATACTTTTTTATATATATTTATAATAATTTGTTTTATTAAAAATATTAGATTTAAATTTTATTATATGAGTTTTATTTAATATTTATTTTTTTATTAAAATAATATTGTTAATAACTATAATTTTTAATATAATATTTTTATATTTTATGTAACTTTTTAATGCATATTTTTGTAAAATATTTAATTAAATATCTATTAATTCAATTATAACATTTGTTTAATTAAAATTACATGCAATACAAATAATAAATAAAAATACATAAAAATATTCATAAATTTAAAAATTTATTTGAACACATTTGGGAGAAATTTGGTCAATCGACTAATTAATTTATTTGAAAAATATATTGTAATATTATGTATTTTTTATTAAATTTAAGTTTGAATTTTTAATTAGTATGTGGGTGTGGAATTATTATTTTTATTTATTTTATTTATTTATGCTAAATAATTATTTTATTTTAATTAAATATTATAAGAATAAAATATAATGAAAAAAATATAAGTTTATTTTATAAATAGATAAAATATTTAATGAGGTGGAAAAAGTAAAGATTTTAAAGGGTTCTTTGATGTGAATGTAAAATATAGTTGGAGTTCTTCGTGACGTGGCGGAGAGAGAAACTGACGTGGTACAGGGTTTCTTCCCATTCTCTCTCCTGTGCCACGTCAGTTTCTCTCTCCGCCACGTCACGAAGAACTCCAACTATATTTTACATTCACATCAAAGAACCCTTTAAAATCTTTACTTTTTCCACCTCATTAAATATTTTATCTATTTATAAAATAAACTTATATTTTTTAATATAAAAATATTATATTAAAAATTATAGTTATTAACAATATTATTTTAATAAAAAAATAAATATTAAATAAAACTCATATAATAAAATTTAAATCTAATATTTTAATAAAACAAATTATTATAAATATAAATAAAAAAGTATATATTATAAATATTATTTTTAATATTTATTGAATAAAAAAGTGGACCATGGCCCACAAAAATTGGAAGAAACGGTACACTCGCAATGTACCGTTCCTTATGTTAATTGGTGTTTTAATTTTTTTTTATTTAATAAATGATGACGTGGGAGGCGCTTCTCAATAAGCGTCTCCCGTTGTGGATGCCCTAAGATTTACAACTGAACTAATTCAATAGTATCTTAATGAAGATATGGTACATCCATTATTGTGCTACTGTATTTACTAATCTATTACATGCAATTGGTCTTTTTTGCTGTGCACGCAATACAAATACTTTTGGGGTTTGTGTATTTTTTTTTTATTTAAATTTGATTTAAATAGTGTTTTAATTTAATATTCTATAATAATAATAATAATAATATAATTTTATTTGAATCTGTATGAACTAAATGCAATGGGCCCGAAAAAATTGAAGAATTGGGCCTCCAACCCAACCCAACCCCAAATCCTCCTCTATTTTTTAAGTCATCAACGGTGTTACTTTATAAATAGAGTAACACTTGTTAGTAGAAACACTATAGCTAAGTCTATTTTGAGTACGGGGGTGTTTTGTACTCCCTCCCTCTCAAGTACGGGGTGTTTTGTACTCCCTCTTTCTTAATCAAGATGCAATATTTATTTTGGGTACGAATTTTTAGGTGGATAATATTAAGTAGGATAATTTAGAAATAAGATGATGTGATATAGAGAGAAATGTATAGATTACTTCCTCCGTTGCTTTTGGCACGGGTTTTTAGGTGGGTAGTATTAAGTAGGATAATTTAGAAATTAGGTGATGTGATTGAGAGATAAATATATATTTTACTATTTTATTTGGATGATGTGAAGAGATAAAGCGTGGGATATAGATCATGTATAATTAATTATTTCCTATTTTGGAAATGTTGCATGGTGGTTGCGACATACCAAAAAGGAAATGTTGCAGGGTGTTTGAAACGGAGGGAATATTATTTTTATTTGGGTGATGGGATGAGATAAAGTGTGGGGTAGAAATTAAATATAATTTAATTATTTCCTATATTGGAAATGTTGCAAGGTGTTTGAGACATACCAAAAAAGGAAATATTGCACGGTGTTTAAGACGAAGGGAGTATATTTTTGTTATTTTTGGGGTGTAGTCTAATTTTATTATTCTAGAAAATTATACTCCCTCCGTCCCATAACAAAGTATCTATTTTTCCATTTTAGTCCGTCTCATAACAAAGTATCCATTTTTCTATTTTAGTCCGTCCCATAACAAAGTATCCATTTTTCCATTTTAGTCCGTCCCATAACAAAGTATCTATTTTTCCATTTTAGTCCGTCTCATAATAAAGTATCCATTTTTCCATTTTAGTCTGTCCCATAACAAAGTATCCATTTACTATCTATCTAACTTTACAGATACCCTTCCAATTTACAATATATTACACAAATACCATTATCTTTATATGACACATACTAATAATAAAGTTATTTTAGTTATTTCTACTTTATTCCTACTACATCCCAATATAATACTAATATTTCTAAAACTCCGTGCAAAAAATAAATGGATATATAGATATGAGACGGAGAGAGTATTTATGATAGTTGTCCTATTTAAAAATTTCGTAGGATTCTTGTCTTATTTAGATAATTTATATATCACTATAGATATGTACGTAATTTTACGATTGAAACAAAGAATTTTAGTTTCATATTTTACCGATACGAACAGCCAGTCCCATTAATTTATTAAGTTTTGTTCAAGCTAAGAATGCTAAAAAAGAGAAATACGTAGATTGGGTGTATTATTGCTTGGTTGGTAATTTCACAATTCACACACACTGATGGAAAAAATCAAATCTAAAAAACAAAGAAACCCATTACGTAATTCTTGATGATCTGATCTTATCCCTCGTCTTCTTCTTCTTCACGTACGGTTTCATGAATTAATTTGTGTTTCAACTTTCTTTTTTTGGTCGCTGGCTCCTGGATCGATCGGTTCCCGGCGGCGGCGGCGGCAGCGCTGCTAATGTGTGAGCTGTTTGAGGACGGCGATCGCCATTATTATTCTTCATCAACTGGTTCTGCAGCCACGTCGCTGGAGGCGGAAGAAACTTGGCAACAGTTGCCCAGTTAGGTTTCCTCTTTGCTTCTTCTGCCCTAATTTTTCTGATCTTTCCTTTGGATCTATCAAGTCCGCCCAGCTGGAGCTTGGGCAGAAGCGTCTTGTACCAGCGTGTCTCACAAGCTTGGAGTGACCTCCCCGGCATTTTCTGGCTTATCGTCTCCCAGTCCATTGTGGTGCCTTCTTGGCTTAGCACATGCATCTGCAACGATTCTTCTTCGTCTTCAGTCCACCTCTCCTTGGACTTCGACTTCCAATACGCATTCGAGGTATCCTCCGCAGCCATTGTTAATTGCATATGTATATGAATATGATCTGTTAGTTTCTAAATCCCTAATTAACCCTGCACTGCACCTCTCAGTTACCAATACTACTATTGTTTGCTGATCGATCGATCAATTCTTCGAAAGCTCAATCTAATCTGACCTAATCTCAGGAGAAAGAAAGAAAGGAGAGTGTGTGTGTGTGTTTTTCCAGTTGCAGTTACAGTTACAGTTCCAGTTCAAGGGTGGGGTTGAAATATTTAACGGCGAGAGACGGCCGTTAGAGATGGCAGTTACCATATGCATTGATAACTACTTTTACTATTATTATTATTATTGTTGTTAAGATATTTTACGCAACTTTCTATGAATATATTGTAACTAACTATAAACTGGAAATTTATTTTATTTTTTTCCAATTTTTTCAAGTAGAGTTTAAAGCAAAATTTTAGTTGTATTATTTCGCTTAATTAAATTTGTAAAGCTAAATAATTCTTATCACTTCATGTTGTATTTTTTTTAGTAGTAAGCAATTTAAAATTCAAGCAAAAAAATCAAAATATAGATAGATAGATAACTACATTCCTATTTCCTAGTTAAACTTGTCAGCAATTTCGTACATCTTGTTCAATTCAATTTAATTTATTGAAAACTGTGTAAGTTAATAATGTTGATTCTGGTTTGAAATGATAAATAAACAAACCCTCCAATGCAGCTTTAATTAAGTTTTAATCAAGAATTTAAACTGATTGTATATACGGATCAATACGAATTCGATATAATAATAAACGAGTCAAATTATTATTGAAACCATAAGCTTGAACCCGACAATTAGATTCCAAGATATTCATATTAATTAATATAATTATTATATATGTAAAATAATTTTAATTTAATAAAAAAATTAAATTGAAATCAATCTAAACACACACACACACTCTCCTTTCTTTCTTTCTCCTGAGATTAGGTCAGATTAGATTGAGCTTTCGAAGAATTGATCGATCGATCAGCAAACAATAGTAGTATTGGTAACTGAGAGGTGCAGTGCAGGGTTAATTAGGGATTTAGAAACTAACAGATCATATTCATATACATATGCAATTAACAATGGCTGCGGAGGATACCTCGAATGCGTATTGGAAGTCGAAGTCCAAGGAGAGGTGGACTGAAGACGAAGAAGAATCGTTGCAGATGCATGTGCTAAGCCAAGAAGGCACCACAATGGACTGGGAGACGATAAGCCAGAAAATGCCGGGGAGGTCACTCCAAGCTTGTGAGACACGCTGGTACAAGACGCTTCTGCCCAAGCTCCAGCTGGGCGGACTTGATAGATCCAAAGGAAAGATCAGAAAAATTAGGGCAGAAGAAGCAAAGAGGAAACCTAACTGGGCAACTGTTGCCAAGTTTCTTCCGCCTCCAGCGACGTGGCTGCAGAACCAGTTGATGAAGAATAATAATGGCGATCGCCGTCCTCAAACAGCTCACACATTAGCAGCGCTGCCGCCGCCGCCGCCGGGAACCGATCGATCCAGGAGCCAGCGACCAAAAAAAGAAAGTTGAAACACAAATTAATTCATGAAACCGTACGTGAAGAAGAAGAAGAAGACGAGGGATAAGATCAGATCATCAAGAATTACGTAATGGGGTTCTTTGTTTTTTAGATTTGATTTTTTCCATCAGTGTGTGTGAATTGTGAAATTACCTAGCAAGCAATAATACATCCAATCTACGTATTTCTTTTCTAGCATTCTTAATTAGCTTGCATAAGTGCTATTTTTTTTTTAATAAATATATAGTTTACAAATGAAATTAATTATATATAAATTAATTAATTAATTTTATAAAAATAAAATTATAATTTTAATAAATAATAGTATATTAAAATTATTTATAATTACTGGAGTATAAAATATATTTATATGTATGTGAAATAAATAATAACATTTTAAGAGCAAATAAGGAATAAAAAAATTAAATTGAAAAAACTATTTCACAATGGGATATATAGTTTTTCAGAAATTAACTTTTTGGGCCAATAACTATTTAATTTACCAAAAACTTAAATTAATTTTTTAACTGATGAAAGAGCTAAAAACTCTTCTTTCCCAAATACTCCCTAAATCAAATCACAATTAAACGAACTCTTAATATAAAGGTGCCTAATTTTGTGCGCCCAAATGGTAGCTCAAATGAACCATTTTTGTTTCAGGCTAAAATTTACAACTGAACTAAAATTTACATGCAATTGGTGTTTTTGCTGTGCACACAACACAATTGAATGTTATTTTTTATTTAAATTTGTATTAAATAGTATTTTAATATAATAATAATAATAATATAATTTTATTTAAATCCGTATGAACTAATAATATTTTTTTATTTGAAGTCAAAATCAAACATGCCCTCCATTTTATAGAAAGTATCACTTTTCATCCCAACTTAAACCCGACCAAAAGAGCAAAATTAGTTGTCTCTTAAGCTCAGAACAAACATAGTGATTAAAAAAAACACCTTAACTTGAGGATGTATTCAAACATTATTAATTCCGATTCAAGTTACGTTTTATTTATTTATTATTATTTTGATAGCATTACAATCCCGTTAAGCAAGTCAAGTAACATTAGGTAAATCATGACTTTCTGGTTATTTAGTTATGTTTAAATTATATTTTATATAATGATACAAGTGAGTTTCACGTAAAACTTAAATATAGAAATCACCATACGAAGTATGTCTTCTAACGAATTATTAGATAGTGTGAAGTGGACTCGTGACCGAACTGACCCGTCGGCACATCCGGCCATCCAACGAATTTTTTTTCCATACAGTCCGTCCCAATTTTCTTCAACAATGTATTAACAAAAAGAAAAAAAAAAATCACTTATGCATGCTAAGAATGTTAAAAAAGAAATACGTAGATTGGGTGTATTATTGCTTGCTAGGTAATCTCACAATTCATCACACCCGACTGATGCAAAAATCAAATCTAAAACGTCATCAAAAAAAAAAAAAAAAAAAATCAAATCTAAAAAACAAGAAACCCATTACGTAATTCTTGATGATCGGATCTTATCCCTCTTCTTCTTCTTCTTCACGTACGGTTTCATGAATTAATTTGTGTTTCAACTTCTTTTTTTTTCGTCGCTGGCTCATGCATCCATCTTTAGAAAGTTGTGCAGCATCGATCATTGATCGGTTCCTGGCGGCGGCGGTTTTGTCGGAGGTGTTTGAAGACTGTCATCGCCATCGCCAACGCCAACGCCATCGACCTGATCCCTCTTCCTCTTCTTCTTCATCACCATGACGGCAGAATCCGTCATCCCTGGAGGTGAAAGAAACTTGGCAACAGTTACCCAGTTAGGTTTCCCCTTTGCTGCTTCCGCCCTAATTTCATTTCTCATCTTTCCTTTCGATCTATCAAAATTGGTTCCCGGCGAGAATACTATCATTTCTATTGAAGGATGACTACTTTCCTGCTTCAATTGGAGATAGAAACGGCCAGCACGATCTGGAAAATTAGTAGTAGTAGTAGAAAACATTGCAGAGAAAAGATTATTGAAATGGTGGAAGAAGTTGGCCTTGGCCCTACGTCCCTTCTCGACTATGGGCGCCAGCATAGTCTTCCAGCTTCTCTGACCAGAGCTGTCTGACCTTCCCGCCATCTCGATGCTTAACGTCTTCCGGTCCTTGTTGGGGCCTTGCACTTGCACATGCTTCTGCAACCTGTTGTCTTCTCCGTCTTTCCTCCACTGCATCTTCGACTTCGAATTCGACGACGACGACGCAGCCATTGTTGTATATGAATATGATCTGTTAGTAACTAAAACCCTAATTAACCCTGCTGCACCTCTCAATTACGAATACTATTGCTTACTGATCGATCGATCAATTCTTCTATCTCAAGAACGCTCAATCTAATCTGACCTAATCTCAGGAGAAAGAATGGAGAGTGCGTGTGTGTGTGTGTTTCCAGTTGCAGTTACAGTTCCAGTTCAAGGGTGGCGTTGAAGTATTTAACGGCAAGAGACGGCCGTTAGAGAGGGCAGTTACCGTATGCGTTAATTAACTACTTTTACTACTATTATTATTATTTTTATTTTTATTTTTATTATTATGAGACATTTTACACAACTGTCTATGAATATATTGTAACTAACTATAAACTGGAAATTTATCCCACTACTGCTTGCTCTATTAACCATTTTTGTTACTTTTGGAGTTCTTTTTTTTTTTTTTTTTTTTTTTTTTTTGTCCAATATTTTCAAGTAGAGTTTAAAGCAAAATTTTAGTTGTATTATTTGGCTTAATTCATTTGTAAAGCTAAATAATTATTTTCACTTCATTTTTATTTTTATTTTTATAATAATAAGCAATTTAAAATTCAAGACAAAAATCAAAATATAGATAGATTAATTAGTTAAACTTGTTAGCAATTTCGTACATCTTGTTCAATTTAATTTATTTGTTTTGTATTTTTAAAATAAATATTGATATTGGTTTGTTCGGTTGTAATTTGAAATTAAGTGATAATATTAATTTTTGATTAAAATGGTAAAAGAACAAAATAGACATGCCTTAATGCACTTTTTTTTTTCTTCTCTTTTTTTTTTTTTTATATGACATGGGATTGCAACTATTATTTTTGAGGGTGCTCTTGATAAATCTAGAGTTAGCAAATATTGATATGACACAAACACAACAGAAAATAATTAAGTTTTGTTCAAGAATTTAATCCCAATTATATATAAAGATCGATACAAACTCGATATGATAATAAACGAGTCTGATTAGCTAGGATTAGACCCTCATTTGAACCCGACACGATAATTCAATTACGAGATATTCATATTAATTAATATAATTATTATATATGTGAAATAATTTTAATATGATATATATAATATTTAAAAAAAATATTATTATCATGATACATATGTGTCATTTATTTTTAGTTATCCGAATACTCTAAATTTTTTTGATGAACCATTAGATCGATCTTGTTCATTAACATCTCGTCAGCATCAAGCAGCACAAAGAACTAAACTGATTACCAGATGGTGTTAGAATGAAAACGAAGGAATAGTATTGATTTCACAAGAGAATAAACTTTCCTACAGTCAGTCCCATTAATTTATTATTATTAATTTTTGTTCAGCAATGTATTAACAAAAACACTTATGCAAGGTAAGAATGTTAAAAAAGAAATATGCAGATTGGTCGTATTATTGCTTGCTAGGTAATTTCACAATTCACACCACACTCACACTCAGGCAAAAATCAAATCTTAAAAACAAGAAACCCATTACGTAATTCTTGATTATCTGATCTGATCTGATCCGATCCCTCTTCTTCTTCTTCTTCACGTAAGGTTTCTTGAATTAATTTGTGTTTTAACTTCTTTTTCGTCTCTGGCTCATGGATCGATCGGTTCCCGGCGCCGGCGGTGGCGATGGCGTTGCTAATGTCAAATCTGTTGAAAAGTGTCATGGCCATCGCTCGTTTCCTTCTTCAAAGTGGAAGAAAATTGGCAATATCTGCCCAGCTATGTGAACTGTTTGCTGCTGCTGCTGCATTATTGATTTTCCTCCTTGTTATAATATGATCTTTTCTGATCTTGTTTCTCATGGATCGATCAACATGGGTTCCCGGTGGCCTCAATGTCAGTTCTGTTCGAGGACCAAATAACAATGGAGCTAGGGTAAAGACTGTTATTATTCAAATGGTGGGCAGGTAGGGCTTAAGTTCCTCCCTGGGTATCTTGGGCTCCATCGTCTTCTTCCAGCGTCTCTATTAACGATTTTTGTTAGTTTGGAGGGATTAATATTATAATCTTTTAGAATAGTGTTTATTTATTTATTATAATTAATGACCTCCAACTACTACTCTTTTAGTATGTTCTTGGTAAATTTAAAGATGACATAATAATAAATGAGTTAGACCTAATTTTAAATTTGACACAACAATCATATTATAAATTATAATACTGCTATTTTTTGCGTTTTGATATTTGAATATTAATTATTATATAAAAAATAGTACAAATTAAGAGAAAATGATAAAAATACTTATATTAGTGTATTGTAATACCATTGTAATGATATTTGTACAAAAAAATTATACAAAATGATAGTTTTAATTATAAGTACAATAACACAAAATGTAAATAAAATCCTTAAAATCGGACAAATTGAATATTAATTAATATATTTATTATATATAAAATATATTTTTATTATTTAAATTGAGCTCAATCTATATATCATATTTTTTATATAATTTTTAATATTTACTGTCAAAGTGTATAATACTTTTGACCGACTTAGTGACATTTAACTTTTATTTTTTTTACTGATTATTTGATTATCGTTGATTCATGGAATTTTAATTATTTTTTAAATAAATAAACGGGTCAATTTTGTTTTAGGCCGTAGGGTTTGAATGGATGTTGAGTCATCTAGCGTGTCGACAAGACAAATCACATTAGGCGAATCATATTTTGCAGACAAGATCTGAAAGTATTGGAAGTTTAAATCCATGATCGGCCGGTCTCGAGTCCACTC